GAAAAAAACTGTACAGAAAAATCAGTATAAGCAAAAGCTATTAATAGTTCTTTGAGATCAATAAAATTGATAAACCTCTAGCCAGACCAATTAAAAAAAAAGATGCAAACTCAATATCAGGAATGAGAGAGGTGACATTATCAAAACTTCTAGATCTATTAAAAGGATAATGAAAGAATATTATGAACAACTTTGTAACAATACATTCAACAACTTAGATTACATAAACAAATGTCTTGAAAGACATAAATTGCCAGTAATCACTCAAGTAGAAAGAGATAACCTGAATATATATACGCACACAAAGGAACTTGAATTTGTAGTTAAAAACCTTCCCACAAAAATATTCAGGCCTTTAAATGCCCCAGAAAACATTTAAGGAAAAAGTAATAGCAATTCTATACAAACTCTTCCAAAAAGTTGAAGATGAGGAAATATTAATACTGCTGTACTCAGCCTATGAAGACAAGAAAAAAAGACATTACAAGGAAGGAAACTACACAATATCCCTAATGTACATAGATATAAAAATCCTATACAAAGTATTAGCAAGAAGCAGCATTAGCTGAATATTTGGTGACTAGAGGGGCAGACTCTGGAGGTTATTTCTGTTTTTCACCGAATAAGACACGTTCTGTCCCATTCTGAGCACGGGTAGGCTGGCCCATCCTGGCCCCTTGCGACTGGGCAGAGCCTCTGTCTTTGTCACTTGATGGCAGAGTGAACCTGCCCTATCCTCTGCCTTGGCAACCAGCAGCTCAGGGCTCTGAGAACGGATGACGATCAGGCCCCCTGCCAGCCCACAGTGGGCACAAAGCCAACATGAGGAAGAAAACATGGTTTTGTAAGTCACTGAGATTTCAGGGTTACTTTTTCAACGCAGCAGGACCAAGCCCGTTCCGACGATACTCTGTACACTGCCATAGACCTGCTAAACCCAAATCTCTGGGCTAGAGCTTCGGAATCTAATTTTACCAAGCACCTCAAACTTGAGACCCCTATGCCCAACAGCGGCCCAGAGTGGTCCCCTGAGTCCACACACCCCATTCTGGGTTGATCCTAGCCTGTCTTGGCATTGCGGTAAGGTTCCAGCATCACCAGGCTCGTCCATTCCCAGCCCTCTCTCCCCACTTCCCTCTAAGCTTTTTTCTGTTCCTTCTCAGTAACAGTGAGGAATAGAGTATATGGATTTATTTATTTTCTCTACTTCTAAATCCGTGTATCCCAAATTCATCTCCAGATAAGACTCTCCAGGAGAGCTTACTAACAACACAGAATTCCTGGGGGCAGGCCTAGTGATGTGCATATATGACAACTGTGCCAGGTCTGATCACCAGGAGGCTGGGGAGGGGCTTGCATTATTGCACAGGGTAACTGTTACGCTCCCCACTAGGGCACAACTGTGCACACATAGCCTGAAGGGACAGAATGAGCATCCACCATGGCCACATTCTCGTGTGCGCTCCACTGCTTCCATCCTTCCCGCTAGAAAGCTAAGCCCATGTGTTAGTTTATCTTACTTTACATACACTACTTGATTATAAAACATTCTGGACACCTCTAACTGATTGTTATGATTGAATTGTGCCCAGCCCAAAAAAATTCCTATGTTGAAGCCCTAACCCCCAATGCTTCACAATGTGACTAGAATTGTAGAAGGGGGCTTTAAAAAGCTGATTAATTAAAATGAGGCCCTTAGGGTGGGCCCTTATGCAATATGACTGGTGTCCTTATAAAAAAGGGAAATTTAAGGCCAGGCATGATGGTTCACACCTGTAATCCCAGCTACTCGGGAGGCTGAGGCAGGAGGATCACTTGAGCCCAGGAGTTTGAGGTTGCTGTGAGCTATGATGATGCCACCACACTCTAGCCCAGGCAACAGAGGGAAAATCTGCTGAAAAAAACGGGGGGTGGGTGAGTGGAGGAATTTAGACACAGACACACAGACAAGAGAATGCCATGTGAACACGAATACAGCCATCTGCAAACCAAGTCTCCTACAACCCGGTACAGATCCTTCCCTCACAGCCCTGAGAAGGAACCAACCCCGCTGACACCTCGATCTCAGACCTCCAGCCTCCAGAACTGTGAGGAAATCAATTTCCATTGTTTAAGCCACCCCGTTTGTGGTACCATGTTATAGCAGCCCTAGCAAACTAATATACTGGCCAATGAGAAAAATGGATCAAGCCGTCTTATTGCCAGAAATATCTAACTACTATTCTTTAAAAAAAACAAACATTGATTAAATTTTTCTTCAAAACAGGGAAGGAATGAGACCACTTGTAATTATCCCCTCTGTTATAAAGTAGCGAGAGGGCAGCAGGATCTGGGATTCCTGCTTTCTCAAGAAAGGCACAATCCCTGCCCAGTAGACCACCAGAGATGAGGGATTATCAATGCTTCCTCCAAATGATTTTGCCTGTGCCACCTGGCTGGCCCTGTCCCAGCAGGAAGCTTTCAGGGCCCTGCTGCCAGGGCTGTTCTATTCAGTCCCCAGCCCCTATCCCCCACTTCCTGCCAGCCACCCACAATGGTCACTCCCCTGGGAACCACTGCAAACAGGAAGCTGGGGCTCATCCTGCACTTACAGCACCCTCACTGGGGACTTGGCCCTGGGGCCAGCCAGGAATGTCTTATTGCTTGATTGTGCTTAAAGCACCATTTTTATATCCATAAGGTCACTCCAATTTTTGTGCATCTGGTCATTAAAATACTGCCTAAAGTACTTCATAGCAGTTTCTGATTATCATCTCATTTCCCTGGTAAGGTGACTAGATTTTCTCAAGAATAAGCTTGTTTTAACAGATGAATCTTGAGAAGGTATGCAAGACAATGGTTTCCTATTGAAAACAAAAATACTTGAATTCTAAATCATATGAAAGTCACACACAAAAGGAAGGTCGATGTGCCTTGGACAGTTACCATCTGAGGAAATGGAGTGCCCGCGACACCCAGACCTCCAGCTGTTCACATGGAAAGGGAGTCTGATTATCTTATTAAGCACAAAGAAACTGAGGTCCTGTAAAACACAGGCCAGGAGAACAATACTGGTGAGAGAGAAATGCACAAATCTAAGAGCTCTGAGGACGTGAGCAAACCACATCTGCAAAATCCCCAAGGAAGAGAAGCACCTTCATCAGCCAGCCTGATGCCTCTGTTACCCGGGCAACCTGCACAGCATCCACATTCTGTACCTCGCCACAGAGAGGCTGCCTGTTTCCCAAATTATTTTTTGTTCCTAATATATTCAAATCAGTAACATTTTCAGTAAAACATCTACTAAAATTTTAAGGAAGGAAAACACAAAGCACTAAGACACCATAGTCCCCCTTCCAGGTAGCAGGCGCCTCACGGACATGGCACACCGTCCCCTGTGCTGGATGACACTGCCACATCTGCAATCACACTTAACACTCGAACTAGGATCTACTATTAGAGCACCAACTCTAGATGTGTATATGTGGCTTTAGCGTGTCATGACATGTGAGCTGTATGTGGCAGCCATTACTTCCAACATTTTACCACCTTACACTTTACGGAAAACTACAGAGGCACAGCTCATGAATTTTAAAGCCCTGTGAAGACACACTGTGTACAGGAGGAAGATGTGGACACTCACTGATGCTGAGCATGCAGCATCCCAATGACACACTTTTCTATATGTGATAACATCTGCCACCTGGTTGTAAGAACTTCCCCTGAGAAAAAATATATGGTAATGAAATCTAAGGCTATATGATGAGGTGCCTGCACTCACCAACAATGTCACTGGGTTCCTTGTTATACAGCTTTTTGTTCCAGTAAAGGAGTCTGAGGAGAGGAAAGGAGACCAGGAGGACAAGGCCAATCCCCAGGAACATGTGTGCCGTGAATCCTGCAAAGTCCAGGCCCTGGAAGAAGAAAAGGGGAAACGGAATGAGACAGACCTCTCCTCCACACTGGCAGTAGCTCCCCAAGTCAGGATCTGGGGCAAGCCAGCCCAGCAGGGGAGGGGCACGTTAGGGCTTGTGGGGACCTCAGGTGGAGGTCCTGGAGCCCAGCATGAAGTACAAGGAAGAACATGGGCTTCATGATGAACACCATGATTCTAAAAAAGTTTAAGGCTTGTTTCATGTCAAACCACCAATTCTCACAAGAATGACAAGCCATGTTAGGAGAAAACAAAAACAGCTTATCACATCCGATTCCAGCCTTGGCTGGGTCTGCCCTCACACTAGACTGACGTGTTCCTCCAGGATCAGGTGAGAAAAGACTGAGGGGTCAAAACACTAAACTATGTGACAAATATCCACCTATTTAAAGGTAAATTGGGTTTTTAAAACACTTAAGTCCCTGACATCCTAAAAGTACATCCTCACAGCTGGAGAGCACAGTCCTGTGCAAGACATCCAGTGGCCATCACGGCTGTGACCCCCCAGAGTGTCAGGACCAGCCGCAGGGGCCCAGGCAGGAGCACGTTCCTTCCCCACATGCTTCCTGTGGTTGCTGTGGTGCCATGTGCCAAGGTCAGCTGCTGAGGGTGTCTTTATGGTTGAGTCAAATCCTCACGAAGTTAATCTGCCCGGGAATAAGTCAGCAGCGTCATTAGTTGGTTTGGTTGTTTCATTTACTTTGTGCTTTTATACCTTCAGCAAATATATGCAGGCACCCCCTGAGCTCCCAGCAGGACAGACAAGGCACCTGTCCTCATGAAGCTGGCCATCTGGTGAGAACTCAAGGTCTTTTCCGTAGTGTCCATAAAACACTGCCATAAAGGGAGGTCAGAGGCACAGTGATAATGCACAACCACGGGGGGGCCCAGGTTGGAAAGGACCACAGACGTGAGGCAGTAAGATCTCAGAGCATGGGCAGTCCAGTTCTGCCTCGGGGAAGCTCTTACACAAGTAGAGGGGCAGCAAGTTCCACAAAACATGCAGAGGACCCCAAGAGGGTTGGAAGGAGTGATTTAAACTATATTAATTGTTGCTTACTAAAATTGGTTTATTTGTCCCTTTTCTATAAATGATCTAAAACCACTTACAACATTACTAAAGACACAACAAGAAGCCATTATCAATATCTGTCAAAGTTTAGGGCTTCCCAATGTATAATAATCTGAACTTCTTAATCCCTTGCAGTTACCTACACATTCAATGGTTGTCCTTGAAAATAGCCTTTTAAACAACAGATGGAGCCATGTAAGCTCATTCATAACAGATGGCAGGGAAACCTACAGAGAGGTGGGGCTATTGAAATGCTTGGAATGGCCACATATTAGAATTCACCACTTTTCAGCTAATTCTTCAATAAGGGTATTACTTTGAACTTTGTGTTTATCTATAGAATTCATACTCCAGATATGTGTCAGAAAAAGGTCCACAATATTTTTAGAGTCTTATGAAAATTGTTTTAATTTCCTCTAAAACCAGAAGAAAAAAAAACAACTTTGGGGTCAAAGAAAAGGGTTTAAAATGTAATATTAATATATTTGTCTGTATACCAACTGGGTCATGAAATAAATGTAATTGTCAATATTTCTTAGAGGAAATGGCCCACAAAGGCAGAAGTATCTGTATCCTGAGGAATTCTGAGTCCCATTGGAACATACAGTTTTGCTCCATTAGAAATGGTGAGGCAATTTAAGGAGAAAGTGATGAGCAGATTAAAAAAAAAAAGGACTAAGGAGGTTCTGGAGTGCATCCACAGTAAAACAACACAGCACTGAGTGGAAGTATTTGGTTGCTACTAGAGTTGTAACAGGTGGATTTATTAAATAAGGTCAGTGCAGACTGGAAAAATCCAAAGTGATTTTAAGAAAAACTACAGGCAGATGCAGTGTACAGTAGGATGCAAATGTTTTCACTAAGCTTATTAGGTTCATGTATTTGGGCCCCCCTGCTGCTTTTACGTGCCTCTATAATTTCCTAGACTCTTCTCTTTAATGTTCTCAGTAATAAAACCACCCACCATCCCACTTGCATCAAAACAGTGCTTAAAAGCAGCCTTTTCTTCTTGTAGGGAGCTGCTTCTATTTTGACCCTCTAAGGCTTTTTTTTTTTTTCCGAGACAGGGTCTTGCTCTATCACCCAGGGTGGAGTACAGTGACACGATCATTGCTCACTGGAGCCTCTAAGTCTTGCTTCGTATTGTTTTGGTTTGAGCTCCACCCTGCCACTGTCTTCTTAATTTTGCACAATGTCCTCATTTGACAGATTAAGTGGCCAAATGTTAAGGCATGTAAAACAACTAAAAGAGGGCCTCCCCATCAGATTGGAATATTCCTAGCTTCATAAACTACATAAATTTATGGAGGATGTAGCTGAGGGACTCCTGGCCCACCAATATCATTTTCTAGGAACACTTTCAGCCTATCTCTGTGACAAGTCAAAATAGTCCATTAGGTTGTAAGGGGTTCTAGCCAAATTGGTTTCTTGAATTCTTCTAAGTGAAAAACTCAAATTCTTATGAAGGGTTTAGCTGAATCTATTGACTGTTTTAGTAAAATATACATGGCGTGGCTTGAAAATAGAGGCTTGTCTAGACACCCAGTAAGAAGAAGACTTCAGCACTGCAGGAATGGGTGTGATGTCAGGCAGGAAGGAGGGGTGCAGGTTACACCAGTGGTCCCCAACTTTTTTGGCACCAGGGACCATTTTCATGGAAGATAATTTTTCCACAGACAGGAGGGGGGATGATTTCAGATGATTCGAGTGCATTACATTTATTGTGCACTTTATTTCTATTATTACATTATATTATATAATGAAACATACAACTCACCACAGGTTTTGGATCCCTGGGTTATACTGTAAAAGGGGGCCATCAAGCATGCCATGGAGCGGTCCTGGCACATGTGTATTTGAGGGAGTTAAAAGCCTCTGGCAGAGACACAGAAGTGGGAGACCCCAGCATGCAGGAATCCAGCAAGCCATGGTGGGGAGACAGCTCTGCTAGAGAAGGCCCACCTGAGAGGAAAAGGGGTCAAAAACAAAGAAGCCTGAGGCTACAGATATTGAATAAATGGACGGAAGCAGAAAACCTGCAAAGGAGACTAAGACTGGTTTCAGAGAGGCAGAACGGGAACCAGAAGCCAGTACGACCATCAAAGTTGTCAGCCAATGAAAAGGAGAACAATGGTTGCAGATAAGTAGCCAAACTATGCCCCAGCATGCACAGCATGGCGGGAAAGCTTGAAGAATGTCCCAGCAAGCACTGGGCTGGGGAAGAGTGAAGAATGTCCCAGCACACACGGCACGCAGGCATGATGGAAAAAGCACATGAACAGCGTCCAATGGCACAATGCACGGGGCATGATAGAAAAGATGACTCTGAGCTGTAAGGTGCTACTCAGAAGCAGGGGACACGCTCCTCTCAAGAGACTTTTCAAGTGTTGTTTAAAAGATGGTTGAATAGTTTTGCTCACCACTGGAGAGTTTCTCTAGAACAGGCAGATAGGAGAAAATGTAGCCATTAGAAGAGAACTATCTCCCCATCTGCCTGTTGGGGATGAAGGTAGTGGATTGTCGCACATGGAGTCCTACAGCTATGGGGACTCATGCTCACCTCATTTTTATCTCTATATGGAGAAGTATCCCCTTATCTCCAAACTACTATAAAATGAATTAAAAGCCACTTTTGATTATCCACAGAAGGCCATTCATTAGATACGTTTTCTGGAAGAGACAGGTTAACCCAAAAATTCAGGGAAAGTCATTAAGTGGAAGACAAGGAATGCCATCCTTGGTAAAGTAAGTTTGGAGCTCAGGCCATGTCCCCAGAGGATGTCACTTTGGCACAAAGCTGTGTGACGAGTCTTAGCTGAGCCTCAGCACAACTAGAGATGGCACTCACCTCTAGGGCTCTCTGAGTTTTTTTGCAAAAACCTCACCTTTCTCGCCTACCATCACATTTAAAATCTGGATATCTGATAACAGCATGTCAGTATGCCATGTAGGACTGTGGGAATGGTCTAATAGACCTGCTCTTTGCCTTCAGCTTTCTACATGGTTTGATAGAGACCCGGGGCCTTGGATCACATCCCACTTTAGTTCAGAGAACTCAGAACTAGGACTGTAAGGGCAGGCTTAAAATGATGCAGAGTTAACTCAATTTGTATCCAAGAAAGATACCATGCCTAGGATTTTACATTAATACTAACATGGTGCCAATCAGGGGCAGTTAAGCTGTTGCAGCATTCATTAAATGTTGTCATAAAAAGAAGAAAAAAAGAGGAGAAAAATAGCAGAATTTGAAAATCAAGTTCTAAAACCAGTTTAATGAAATATAATAGCCACACCCTCACTTGAATTATTTCTTTACCTATTCTACTGCAACTTATGTTTTCCATTAGAAATTTAAAGTTTTAGGTTTTACCACACTGCCTTGGTTATTGTAGCTTTATAATAAATCTTCGTATCAGGTAGTCACAGCACTTTCAGTTTGTTTGGTGTTGGCTATTCTGGATACTTTGAATTTCTATATAAATTTTAGAATTAGCTTGCCGATTTCTACTAAAAGAAAAACAAAACCCTGTATTGTTTTGATGGGGACTGCATGAATTTAAAAATTTTTAGAGAATTGATAACAATATTGCATCTTCTGACCCATGAACATGGCATATCTCTCAATTTATCGGGGTCTTCTTTAATTACTCTCTGCAATATTTTATGGTTTTCAGTATGCTTGGTCAGATTTACACAAAAGTATTTTATATATTGATGCTCTTCTAAATGACATTTTTATTTCCAACTATTCATTTCTAAATATAGAAAACCATTGATTTTTGTATAGTTATCTTGTATCCTGCAACCTTACCAAATTCACTTATTATTTTTACCAGCTCTTTTATAAATTGCATCAGTTATTCTACATGGGGAATTGTGTCATTTGCAAATAAGACATTTAATTCTTC